CCTTGCTTGCTGCCAGCTAGACTGCGACGACAGCGCATCCGCCCGCCACCTCTAGCAGACACCCCGCTGCCGCCCACGCCGGGAGAAGGGCCCTGCCCTAGGCTGCTTTACTGTAAAACAATAAAGTTTGCTGAGAAGGTCAGATATCTTCTGCCCGAAAATCAAGGAGAGGAGAGGAAAAAAAAAAATCCAGTCTTGATCGTTGCTCTAAACTGCTGCATCTGTCTATGCCAAACTAATCGATACCGATTGCACCACAACACCCCGCTGTGTGGAGACTACCTTTCAGACAACTTTACTGAAAGCAGTTTGGAAGCCCTGTGTCAGAGGGTCGGCCACGTTTTCATGCTTGCAAGTTTGGGTGCCAGTTGGCACTCGGGATGGGTCACTGAGCCCATGAGGCTGCTCCCAGGCCACACTTTTTAACGTTCACCTCACTGGCAATCCTGGTGTTTCTCTCAGTACGAAACTTCTGTCGATTCACGGTGTCACGCTGCGAACTTCTGGTGGCACGTCCTTTCCTTCAGATTGCGGCCACCCCATTTTACACGTACTTTTAAAATAGGGAGTGGGGGGGGGGGAAAAAAAGTATTCTGGAGGTGGCGCTTTCATCATTTCCAGTTTATCAGTTCAGCTTCTCGTTTGTCAGTTTTATTGGAAATTTTAACTACCTGTAAAATCTAAAGATGGCTGTTAGTGTCACGCCGATTCGGGACACAAAATGGCTAACGCTGGAAGTGTGTAGGGAGTTCCAAAGGGGGACTTGCTCACGACCAGACACGGAATGTAAATTTGCACACCCATCGAAAAGCTGCCAAGTTGAAAACGGACGCGTAATCGCCTGCTTTGATTCATTGAAAGTGAGTAAATATTATATTATTTTCAAGGATATACAGTTAATGAAAGAAGCGGTTGTAGCCAGAGAAACCATGCAGCCCGAAAGGGAGTGATTGCAGGCTGCCAGCAGTGGGATGTTTTGCTGCTCTTATTTTATTGATGCTTGTTGATTTGTTTTGCTGTTTTCCTCAGGGGAAGGAAAAGGATAAGGGGAATGAAGGGAAAATATGCCTGGCAGGGCTTACAGCCACTGGTATGGCTACAGTGACTGCTGCTTTGCCTCCAAATTATGCTCTGCCTGTCGCTGGAATAAAGGGCACTTCACGTAGAAACAGCAAAGTCACTGTAAGGATTCTTTGTTTTTAATAGCACAAACCACGTAAGCAGTATGAGGATTTGTTTCCATCTCGTAACTACCAGCGGGTTGTTGGTGCCTCTGGACAGCTGATGGTGAATCTTAGAAGAGTGTTTTCCTCCCTAGCTTATTTGGGTGTCTGTGAGTGCCCTGCTTGTATTTCTGCGTTGGGACTGCTACGGTGATCCTGTCGTTTCCTCAAAGGCACTGGCTTCAGGGAAGGGCACGGCTTAGCAGGAGGAAGGGAGCCTCAGGCAGGCGAGCAGGGCTGTAGCAGAGTGCACGGCCTCACGGTGATTTTTAGGAGACAAATCTGAGTGGGGTGCCGCAAATGTGAGGCTGCTGTTTTACTGTAGCTGTAGTGTCAGTAATAGATTCTAAATGTGTGGATCCCAGTGCCTTCCCTTCATTTTTATGAATTAAATAAGCTTAGCATTTAAAATATGCATCCCACAAATAGTACAGAATCAATTCAGTAGAGTGGTAAAATATCAGAAGTTGGGATTCAGCAGTCTGTCAGTGTTTTCTACAGTATAATTTTCTCTTCTTGGGACCAAATCTGGGGAAGTGGAGCAGAGCCCAAGCGCAGGGTCAGCTCATGGCAGAGTCATGCTTGGGGAGGGAGCTGTCGCTGTCAGTGTCACCGCAGGCCGCTAGTGCAGCCAGGCCCCAGTGCAGCGGGAGCTGGGCAGGAAGTGGGTTTATAGCTGTTTTATGTAAATCCTGCAGCGCTCCTGAGTTTAAACTGTGTTTTGTTGCATATCAGGGTAGAGGATGAACCTCTGAAATGCTCTTGGGCCTAAAGTACCCAGCCCCACCACCCTCAGCTGTGTTTCAATTTACAGATCTTGAAATGTTTGTGTTGTTCTAATTTATTTTGAAATTACAGTAATTAGAATGCATGTGGGGGGTAGAATTAATTTTAAAACATGGAAATAAATTGTTTCTATGCATTAAAAAAGCACTGGAGTTGGGAGCAGTGACAGGGGCCACCAGTGCTGATGGGGAGGCCCAGGCCTTTGGTGGAGGAGCGGCCCAGAGCCTCTGACCACGGGGCCACCGCCCCTGCGTGCCAGCAGGCCTGCCTGGCGCTTCCTCTTGGCGGTGAGGCGTCGGGTGATGTGGTGTGCTGTGGCGTGGCGTGGTGTGGTGTGGCTGTGAGGTGTGCTGTCAGAGGCCCCATGGCTGCCGCAGCGTCGTGCCCATGACATGGCATGTCCCTGCCGGAAACACAGGCCTGGCCTTGGGGACTTGGACCTGCCTCTGTGTGAGGGTGAAGACGTAGTCACAAGTAAAATATCCCTGGGTTGATTACCCACTGAGCTGCTGTTGGGTCACACGGCATGGTGGAGCTGCAGCAGCTTTACCCTGCTGGCCTTGTGCTCTTCAGAGCAAGGGGGCCACCGAAAAGGGTTAACAAGATGCAGAGTGAACTGAACAGGAATATCCTTCGCTGTGGGAGGCATCACTTGAGTTCCCTGGGAACCCTCCACTTGGATTTCTGATGTCCATGGTCACTGGGAGTGCCTTAAAATCTCGTTGCTGGACAAGGAGACCAGGATGGGCTCGTGTTGAAATGAGAGAGACGGGGCATTTGAAAGGAGAGAGACGGGGCATGGGCCAGGCTTCCCCAGCAGCACGGCTGGCTCCTCTGCTGCTGTCCGCAGGGCTCTTCCATTTCCTTTCTTAATGAAGGATCTAATTATCACCTTTGTAAAGAGCTGCAAGGTCGGTGGATAATGATGCAGGTAACATCACAGCAGCATTACGTCGCTTCAGAAAATGCTGTCGGAAGGAGCCTGCCGTTGCCCATGTAAAGTCAACGCAGCAGTGAGCTGTAAGCCGGGAAGGAATCTAGATGTAAAAATACCCTGCTTACAGAGATGTTTACTTGTGGGAGTGCACTCCTGGCTGAGGGGCTCCCTCCCAGGGCTGCTGGAGAGGCTCCAGAGATCCGGTGGATCCCCTCACTGCTGCCTGTGGGACACGGTGCTGTCACCAGGCCAGGGGAGCTGCTCCCGAGGGGTTTTTTAAATTCATTTTTTTAATTTTTGGTTAAACGGCTTCTATAATGTATGAAAACACCTTTGGTAAACCAAAAATGGAGTACCTCTTCATTGCATCCCCTGTCCCATCCACGTGGTAGAAAAGGAGTTACTCAGTTTTGGTTTTGTTTCCTATCTCTGTCAGGTTTTGTGTGTGCTGAGCTAAGCAAGCACTAGTTACTTTGTTACATTTTCTACAGTATCACAAACTTCAGATGTTACAAAGACAATTTAGGGAAGTATTACACCCGATTGGTCTGGACCTTGTAAGGTCAGTTAATAGTTTACCAAAGGAAAAAAAAAGTTTTTTGATTAGGACATTCAAAGGTAATTTTTAATATTCCAGTAATTCAATGTGGATGGAATGTCCACGCTCCTTACTAAAATAGCAATACTCCTAAGAATACTGGGTTTCTTATAAATGTATGTAATGTCGGTAGTAACTGAAGAGCTATTCCCACACTACCTCTTGGACATAAAACAGATATTTAGTCACTGAATTTTTTACAGACTGTGCATGCATCTTGCACTCGCAGCACTCCCAAGAGTTAGTGTGCCTTGGAAATGAACGCTGTCGGTGAGGTGCCGTGAGCAGGTGCTGGTGCTGCAGGGAGCTGCAGCCGCAGCCCGTGCTGTTGCGCCGGCGCTGGCCTGCGCTGTGCTCGCTATATTTAGAGGGTAAACAGGGAAAGCGATGCTGTGGGAGGGGAGCGGGGAATGGCAGCAACCCCGGCGCTGCCCGCAGGCGCTGGCCCGCGGCCCGGGTGTCCTCCTCGGTGCTGTGCAGGGCTGGGGCGCGGGGGGCACAGGGCCGGCCGCGGGCAAACGCCGCTCCTCTGCTGTGCGGCCGGGTGCTGAAAACAGATCTCGGGAGGGGAGCTCTCAGCCCGGGTAAAATCCCTTTTTAAAAATTTCTTCTCCTGCGAAATGCAAAGAGAAATGCAATGCGAAAAGCAAAAGCCGTGTGTGGAGGCGTAGAGCAAAGAGTGAGTGAGGGGTGTCTCCTCCCGGTGCCGGCTTTGGCCCCGTGGCACCGATCCCTGGACACGCGTCGCTTGTTGGGAAACACCTCCCGTGTGCAGCTTCATTCCGAAGGTGTGTTCCTTCAGTCCGAATCCGTAACAAGCAGCAGCTGCTAATGACGAGCTGGGGGGGGAAGGAAGACATAGGCGTTTCTGTGAGCGCAGGGCGGTGGAAGGAAGAGGTCAGGGCCACATCAATCAGAGCAAGATGTTATCGCCCTGCTGCTGAATGCCCTGCTCCCTAATTAGTGCTAATGAAATCTGCAAGGCTGTCCTTAGGGTAGCGCATTAATCAAGATAAATGCGTGTGGGATAATCTAGCCTTTAGATATTAGGAGGATAATTTTAAAACAAGAATGATTATGTAGTATATTCAGATTGTGTGCTTGAGTGGCTGAGTCAGCTCCAGCCCTGATTCTGCGTTGTTTAAATGCTGTAGGATTTTTTTCCTAAATTTGGATGCCTAAAAGCCTGCTAAACTGTCTACAGCAAAAATAAGCTCTTGAGTTCCTAAATCAGGAACCAGTTTGCGACAGAAATTAGATCTTTAGTATAATTTTAAAATATTTTTCTTCATTTTTTGCTTGGAAAAATATGCCTGAGTGGGATTCATTTTTGAAATTCCATTAGCCCCATCAGATGTCCTGCGGCTGGAGTCATCGGACGCTTCCCGAGAGCTGAGATGGAGACGGCGTCTGCACGATGGGGGATGGATGGCAAACGCAGATCTGGGGGGCGGCCGCGGATGCGCTGATGCCCCGCGGTGCCTGTGGCTCGTCCTGCGGCTGCCGCGCTCCTTCCCCAGCTTCTGTGAGTGCGAAAATGAGGAAAAAAGTGAGGAAAATGCAGTGTGGGCTCCACCAGGCTGTGCTGGCTGTGGTCAGCGCTGCTGTTTGCCCTCGCTGTGCACGGGGATGACGTGCCGTGGTTATCCAAAATGTACTGGGTCGATCTGATCTGCACATGATTTCAGCGGCTGGGGGAGGGCTGGCGGGGT